TGGATGTAACTGGGACCCTGTGTACATAATTTCGTTCCACCTCATGTGGTACATGAGGTGAATCGACAATAAACCAACTTGAACTTGAACATGTAACCAACTTACCTGTTACCTGTACATGTCCAAATCAACAAACAAATCATATCATGATGAGTTTACCGTTAAAATAATTGCATTTTCATGTTATTTTGCACACATTCTTTTTTTTTTTTTTTTTACAAAATGCTAGGTTTTGTGAGGAGACGAGGAGAAACTTTGAGGCAACATTGGCCTGGCTGCAGGAGCACGCCTGCTCTCGTACTTATGGGCTCGGTAAGTGTTTTCCCTCCACAATAGTTGTTTTTTTAGCAGGATTACAGATAATGCTTGCTTGTATGATCCATTCTTCTGTTAAAAAAATGTTTTTTGCTAAAAAAAAAAGATGTTTTCTGCATTTTTATTTCTTCACGAGTTTGACAACTCTATGAAAGATGTCGAGAACAGTTTGTTTCTTAACCCTAAAGTTCCATAAACTATGATTTGGATTATTATTTTTTGATCTATAGATGGAGACAGAGGACTGATAATTAAGCGCCTAGCAACAGTCCGCCTGTTCCTACAGTAATAGATGCAGTGTGAGGGCTGTTTGGCAGGAATTACAGGCCTGTGCTGCACAGTCCAGACTTCTTGTAGACTCTTACTGTAGAGATCTGGCCATGTTAATCTTGTTTATACAAACTGACAGATAAATATCTTGTGGAAACATTTGTTGTATGACACATACTTTGCAGCTTTTTATGTGAATTAAAAAAAAAGAAGGTATTTTTTTGCAAATCTTTCCTTTTATTAGTTAAAAAAAAATGTCACATCATACTTTGTACTCTTAAATGTTCAAGTACCAAGATAAATGATTTGATTAACATTATACATATTGTATTTTTTTTTATCAGACAGAAAAGAAAGGAAAAAAAAAAAAAAAACTTAAGGCAGTAGAAATGCAACCCAGCCCAAAGCGGTTGTGTAAATTTATCAATTAATTAAAAAAATAATATATATATATTTTAGAATCTTAAAATGTATTTAGAATTTGAGACATGAAAAAGGATCTTCTAAAGTGTATTTTCATTGGTGGAATAATAATAGAAGTATTTTCCATTTAGATTCCGAGCTACTAAACATATATGACTATTTAAGCTTGTGATAATTCTCAAGCTGAAAGTAGACCATCTGGTATAATGTCAGGGAAATTTAGGTAAAGGTCATGGTGGATGATATCACTTACTAATATTAAATTAATGTAGAACCGTGTGTGTGAGTTAGTTGTTTTGTCTGAACAGAGAGGAGCCTGCAGGAGCACAGAGCCTGTGCACCTGATAAACTTCAAGGCCTCTAAGCTGCAAAGCAGAGGTTGTTTTGACCTCATTTCTGTCTGATAAACTTTATAAATACACTTCTTTCTACTGTCTGTGGGCAGACCTTAAGACTGGAGCTTCAATGTAACATGTGTGTAAGCCTGCGTGTGAACTCTGCCCCCCACTTGCAAGGAGTAAAACTGGGTTGAAAAATCTTCTGGTGTCCTCAGATTGGAGGAATGATTTAATGATAAGGCACATTAATTCATTTGTTTTGTGTTTTTGTAACTTGACTGCTTAAAAAAAATGTATATAAATTTGAACAGTTGTGTCAAAAATCTGTAAGCTGCAACGATATCTCTTACAACAACTGGTTTAGTTTTATTTTTTTCTTGTAAAGATATACTTCTAAGTTTGTTTACAGAAAATTACTCACTGAATCCAAGACTTTAACCATCTGCCTTTTCTGTGTTTGTGTACTGAGCTTGACGGGATTATATATTCCACAAAAAATGTCAATACAGGAAAAAACAAAAGCCTGGATAATTTTCTTTCTTCATTTGTGTGTGTGTGTTTGTGGATATGTGTGTGATTGTATGCCTGTCCTTTGGTTACCATAGGAACACGGCTGCCTTGGGACGAGCAGTGGCTCATTGAGTCTCTATCGGACTCCACAATCTACATGGCGTACTACACCGTAGCCCACCTCCTCCAGGGAGGTGTGCTCAACGGACAAGGAGCCTCTCCGTTGGGCATCAAGTGAGGATGCACCACACACGTCTTCACTCAGAAATAAACCACTGTTAGACAGAGTGCATTTTTTCTTCTTTCTTAGGCCTGTTGCGATAAACCATAAATCAATTAATCGCATGATAAATGAAAATTATCAACCTCATTTTCATTTATCGGCTTTATCGTTTCTTCGTGTCTCTCTCTTTCTACTGAAGACACTGGATGACAAAAAGTCTCAACTCCGGTGCTCTTCACTGACCCTTCCCTTTCTCTTTCGTCGTTTTTCTTTAAAATCAATTTTAACCGTCCAAAATTGCGTTTTTGGATCGTTAAAAGCGGCTAAGCTGAGAAGCTCAGCTGCGAGCTAAGCTAACGAGCCGACCTCAGGGAAAAACCTCCAACTTGTCGAAGCTCCAAAATTCACGGTTGAAACTCGTGCCTTGGTCTAAAAAAAGTTGTTTTTCCTCTGCAAAAAGAAGCTGAGAACTTGTTTACTGATTTTTTTTTTTTAATTAAAAGTTTTGTGTGACAAATGCTATGCTAAAGAGCTCAAACCACACCGAGCCTCCGCCATTTTGAGAACCAAACAACAGGAAGGAGAGACAGCCCACGTCATGTCACGGGGCCTCCCACCCATTTTTTTAAAAGAGACATGCTGCTCGCTCCCTCACAATCCATCCTTCGGTTCAGTCTTATACTGCCATCCAGTGGTCAAAAAAGATACTACATGCAAAACAAATTACCAACATTTCTTCTTAAATGTGACAATAATTACTAATTATTGTCAAATTTCAAACAATATTATTGTTTATCGCAATAATTTCTGAGACAGTTAATCGCTCAGCAAAAATTGTTATCGTGACAGGCCTACTCCTTGTATTGCGTTCTGTTTTTTTCTCTGCCTTCTAACAAACCTGTGAGGTAGAATAGAACCTTTTGTAATAATAAATTAATGTAGGATTAATCCGATTAATAAATTAAACTAAATGTAATTTTAGGATGTAATCACTAGGTCAGTGTTTAATTAAAGCAAATTTCATTCCAAGCACCAAAATATATTTGCAGAAAAGTTAAACACTGAAACTTATTCAGAATCAGCCACACTAAAAATATTTCTTCTCATCTTGTTTAAACCCAGTTTATGCCTCTGTTAATCCTAAATTATATTTCTATTCCCACTTTTGTTTCCTGCAGACCAGAGCAAATGACCAGAGAGGTGTGGGACTTTATCTTCTTTAAGACGTCTCCTTTCCCAAAGACGGACATTCCTAGGGAGCACCTACAGAGGCTGAGGAGGGAGTTTGAGTACTGGTACCCAGTGGATGTTCGTGTGTCTGGCAAAGATCTGGTGCCGAACCACCTGTCCTACTACCTGTACAACCATGTTGCTATCTGGCCTAAAGACAAGTGAGTTTTCCCCCACTGGACTGGTTGGTTTAAAACAGGGATGTCCAATCCTGGTCCTTGAGGGCGACCATCCTGCACATTTTACTTCTTTCTTTCTTCCACCACACCAGATTCAGTGGCTCAAATTAGAGCAGACAAACATTTAATATGAAGGACAGTGACCCTCAAGGACCATGATCGGACACCCCTGGTTTAGAATTAATGAGGACCACAATATCTTGATTTACAGATCTAGAAGAAGGTTGTTTTTTTAAGTTATTTTCTTCTTTATTCTTTACTCTTTTTTTTCATTTATTATTCACTCACATGGTGGTTTCCATATAACTCAGTTCAATTAATGACTTCAAAGAATTTGCCAAAAATGTTAAGCTAGAATAACGGTGCCGTCAATCATGGGCTGTAATGGGTCACTGACTGGTTTGAAATGAGGTGATTAAGCTGCTAAAGACTTTGGAGTCACTAATTCTCAACCCAATCTGACTTGTATGAGCGATTTTAGATCCAGAAGTTGGACATAGCTCTCAACTAGTGTCGTCATCAAAATGCTGACGAGGATCTAGGTTTTTAATGAATATTTAGTTACTGGAGGAGATTTAGACTTTTTCAGATTCTGTGCTAAGAAGCAATGAAGCTGCCATATTAAACCCAGATTTGTTCTAAGAGATCCAGTATGCTTTGTTTGTATACAAGTTACAAAAAAATGTTCTTAATACAATGATGATTCTGTAAAATGTAGAATTATTGAAACTGATGGAAATAAATGTTGTTTCAGTGGAAAATGGCCACAAGCTGTGCGAGCTAATGGACATCTGCTCCTTAACTCTGAAAAGGTATCTTAGCTTTTGCAGTGAGCCTCTATAAACCTTAAGACACAAAATGATATTATTGAAACATAATATTGGGTAATAAATTATCTATCTATCTATCTATCTATCTATCTATCTATCTATCTATCTATCTATCTATCTATCTGTCTGTCTGTCTGTCTGTCTGTCTGTCTGTCTGTCTGTCTGTCT